TTAACTCGATTAGGAAAAATAGTATAATCATCCTTTATATTATTTTCAATTAGGTCTTTATTTTACCTTATATATATATATATATATATATATATGTTGAATCAGATCGAGTGCAGATTTTATATAAAAAAAATCAAATCAAATTTTAAATGAGTAGAACCTTTCTAAATCTGGGTAGAGTAAGATGATAAGTGGAAGAATAGAATACTCAACCGAGTTTGGATCAATCAAAAATTCGATCCGAACCATATTATAAAATTACAAAAACCAAATACATTAGGAAAAAAATCTCTATTCAATAAAACCAAGAAAAAGAATATTTTATATTATAAGTATTTTTCGATATTTTTTAATATTTTTATATAATCTATAAAGAAATTAATACGTGACCAATAAACTAAAACACTTTGTTAAAATAATACACATTAAATTTTTTATGTACGCACTTGAATAGATGGCCTTTTCAGTAACCAAATCGCTTTGGTAAAACAAACTCTCGATTTCTGTATGAAATCATTACTAGCAATAGAGAACACCAGAAAGCAATTATTGATCGACTAGCAAGAATAAAACAGTAAATGTATGGGGTTTTGTATGTGTACCTTGTGCTGTTCATCCTGCCCCACTTCTTTTTCACCTTCTTCGCTCCCGGGTTTATTCAAGACGACTTTTGTTTCTCGCCGCGTAATCTTTCTTCCACGTTTCGTATCACTATAAATTTGCAGGAAAAAAATGTCCAACTTAAACCAGCTTTTTCATATATCTTTCTAAGTTTTGAGGCCAAAACCAAATTATTAAATTCACTCATGGAGGGCAGTCAACTTGATACATAACGTTTTCCTACCATCCTTCTTAAACGCCCGATTTACAATAGAAATGCCTTTTGACGTATTCTTTTTTGCCAAATTACAGTATATTTCAATATCTTTAACATAAATGAAGTGGTGATTGAAATAAAGAAACATCTCAATCCTCAATATTGTTCCGACTTAAGGCACAACCAGAAGCAAGCCATTACCTTTTGTTCCGAACTCAAGTTTCAACACAGCGGCATTACGTTGCTTTGAATATTTATACTCGAGGGGAAAAAGCCTGAATACTTACCTGGTTGTATCACAACTGATGCATCACTAATTTTCTTGAATGTTTTCCTAGAATTCCTGCCTTTAATATTTTGTATAGCGATAGCGGCTCTATGTCTCTGCAATAAGACGGCATGTTCTTTCCTGGTTTTCTCTCCTCTGATAACTGTAGTAAGGAGATATAGAGCAAATCAGGTCTTGACAGTTTCTTACTTAGCAAAAATATGACTTCCAAGCAATGAAAAGGGAAAAAAAGGTAGCAATACATGACTGAAGGGTAGCAATTCCCCTTTGGACCTCCTTTAAGTGGTTGCGAGCTTGATGTCCTCTGAAGCAGCTTTGAACACGTAAAATACCATGAAGAGTACGATTTCTCGTATCCTCAAGAGCCCCGATCTGCATTGATTGTTTATTAATATTATATCAATTTATCAATATCAAGAAAAGATGCATGCTGTGGGGGTTTCCGAACTTTTTCTGATTAAGACGGACAATAAATAGTATTATACAATCTATAAAATCTCCTTGAAAACCTCAAGAACCCCCCCAGAGTGTCCTTAATCGATATAAGTCAAGGTCATGAAGTAGGCAGACGTTTTTAAGCATTTCCATTGTCAATTACTAGTATAGGAGGCAATGTTTTTCAAAATTCACCAGGCTTTCAAATCATTCAAGGCGGAGAACTGCAAGGATGAGAGGTTGGGGATTTATTGACTTATGAGATACTACGATATCGGCGTAATGAAATGAATGTACTAATATCTATCAAAAAGCACATATAATTCTTATCCAGACTTCAGCTTTTAGTTTAGTGGAAAATGGAAACTATAACACTTAAAATGGTTTAACAAGGAAGTCAAACAACGCCAAACTTTAAATGACATCCAACCAACGCCAATCCCCTCTCCCTTTTCCTAAAATCGAGTCCTCTCAAGGTAAAAAAATGAAAAAAAAGGAGGGTGTGTTATAAAAAAATAAAGAGCGTAAATCACCCATGATGAACCAACCATAATCTTTTATTATACCTGATCGGTACGGAAAAACAAATTTGTGTAGCCAACTTGATACATCTCAGGCAAAATGTTGAACTGATGAAGAATTGCAACTGAAACACTAAGTGGATCTTGCGAGGCAACACTCTCCAGTAGAAGAAAACCATACCTGAGAAAAGTTGCAACACAAACCAAAAACTCGTAAAACCTAAAGAGAAAAAAGGGTAAAGAACCAGATGCTTAATGATTATATACACTGTCAAAACTGTGTAAAAAGGGGAAAGAAAATGAAAATGGTTCTCCTTTCAACGAAGAGAAAATTGTTTCCTACTCCTTACCTTCTGGCAAACTTCTGGTGAGACATTCTTGTGGGAAAGCCAGACCGTGATATGCGAACAAAGAGCTACCTTAACTTTTCCATCCCAAACCATTTGAAGCATTGCAAGGGCGTGATGGATTCCAAACATCTAAACACCCTATTTGGCAATGTAGTCTTCTTCATTTCTCAATATTCACTTCTCAGCTGAGGTTCCTATGAACTCTTTCAACAACTATATGCATTCAAACTTGCCCAACTAAAGGGAGAAGTGCCCCTAATAGTAGCTCCGTATATCCAGGTTGGCAACCATTATGAACAAAAACCTCCAACCTCGATTTTAGAGGAAAGAATTCATAGTAACCAGAATTTTCAATAATTATTAAAAAGCTCAATAAGGCATTGCTATTAATCAATTAGACTTGGTTCAAAATTCAATATCTCAGCAAGCAAATCAGTCTGTCAATTTTCCATTTATTTCACGCATCAACAAATTAGAGTTATCACCAATACGTTTACTTTCACAAACTATATAGCCACATAATTCATGCCTGGAGGCTGGCCTTACTAACTTCAATTCTCTAAGAGGATCTGTTATCACGTATTTACCACATATTTCTTTGGCTGGCTGAACATGCTTCCACCAAAAATCAGAGAGCGCTAATTTGAGAGCAGCCCAGTACTCTACATCTCGGTATATCCTAAACAGACTACTTCCTTTTGGAGTCCAAACATAGAAGTCCATCCAATCCCGGTCCATGATTTCCATTAAGCCCTGAGCTTGTGGAATGCAATAGAGAGGAATCCGCCTCCAAGGGAAAGCCTTACTCATATCTCCACCGAAAAATGGACATTTTATCTCCAATACTCCTCTAAGAGACAACCCATAAACAAATTGGTCCACTAAACCATCAGGTGAAGCTGCTAACCAACTATCTTCTGGATTCATCTTACCATAAACCTGAAATTCAGGAAAATCAACTGTATTCCCAGTAATCAGTTTATATCTTTCAAGTGCTACCTCTTCTTTGATATTGCTCCAACATGTAGCTAAGTTACCAAAAAATGGCTCAATCGCCCCAATTTTCTCTAGCCAGAGCTGGGTCCTTCGAATAGGCCAAAACCCAACTGCCGCAGAAAATGTGCTAGCTGTCAATTTCTGCTTTCTCTGTTCTTGCCAATTTTTGAACCAATGCTGAAGACTACTAGACTGGATAATAGGATGAGTTTCAGCAATTGCAAATTTCTTATAACAACTAGATTCACTTGAACTTCTTCGTGAAGGAGGTTTGAGAAATTGACCACTGGTGATGAGCCTTTCACTAACTGGCTCAAATAGACTCTGGCTGGAATATGTTCTCTGATCCTTCAAATTACCAACTAGCAAACCAACGCTAGAGATATTCCTGCTTCTGTAATTTGATTGATGAAAGATTAAGGGAAAGCAATACGCAAGCTCTTCACTACCCATAAGGGGGAAAAATTGGATTCATTAACTCAATATGATTTGGTTCAAGAATTATCGATCAGTTAGGGTAAGCAATCATGAATAAAATAATTACACTGCACAAGCAACAAATTTTGTCAAATGTATCCCTCTATTTGCAAAAAAGGAGTAAAGTCTGCATTTACAGAAAAAATAAATGATCAATTATGCTTAAATGTGGGTTTCATTCAAGCCATTAGTCATTCAATCAAAATGTGATTTTGCTTTTTACCATTCTGTTCTTTAACAACTTTTCATGAAGCAAAAGTCAAAAAGGAAAAAACTAGAAATTTGTTTTTAAAAATAACAAAAACAAACAAACAGGCCTCATAAAAATCAAAACCTCTGTGAGCATAAAAACAGCACCGGGCTGTTCCATACCATCAATCCTATAATCAATAAGAAAAAAGCTCATTCGCCATGGAAGAACTTAAAAAAGACTCTGATTCTTCAACAACAAAAAAAGCGAGAAAGATGCCATCAAAAGACTCAAATGATTAAATATCATATTAACTCCTAGATGCTTACGAAATGGGTATTTTAAGCTAAGAAAAATTAAAGGGGGTAGAGAGCAGGACCAACCATGAAAACAAGGGGAAATAGGTATTTCAAGCTAAGAAAAATAAATCGTGTAACATTGGCATCTAAGTTCTTTGAGACAAAAAATCAAACACGTCCAACGCTTTCAAAAGAACATCGGAAAGAAGAAAAAAACTACTCTACGAGGGAGACAGAAAGGAGGACTAACCATGAAAGCTTGTGAGAAGAACGATGCATAGAGACTGGAATTTTGTGAGAATAAATAATAATAATTTACATCGAATTAATATATTCTAATTATTGAACTTTTAATTTGAGAAATGAAGACGAGCTTCAAGGCTGAGCTCAAGTTCAACGAGGGAAAGGATTTTACCGTTTTATGTGAAAAGGTTTTAGAAACGGAGGAAATCCGACATGTTTGGCCACACATTTAGAGTTAACTTCAACAAGGATATAGTGTTTGGGTCTAATGAAAAATGTAAACACTTTTAGAGTTAACTTCAACAAGGATACAGCAAGTGTTTCTCAACAACTCTCCCAAACTTCTCCTGCATGTCTTTCAGTGTTTCAACCTACGATCATGCAATTTATTATGTTATTCAGGTTGCCCAAAAATGTCTGTTTTTAAACATATTCACTGAGTTACTTACTGCATTGAGGGCTTTAAAAACAGCCTTGACGGTGTTGTGAGGAGTCCTTGAGCCAATAACCTGGGAAGATAGTTCAGATGAGCAATGAAAAGTAGAATTCTAAAAACAATTGTAAGGGAAACACCCCCCAAAAAAATGCTAATGTCAAACATATATCTAAATCCGATGATACGCGATAATCCAAGTAAAACACATAATCAATGACGCTTGATTACCTTTGATTTGATATTGTTAAAGCCAGCTAAAAGCAAAATGTTTTCAACAGTTCTTCCAGCTCTCATACCCAATGCAGTTGGTGCAGGCCAGAGATAGACCTTACCAAAGCATAAATAGTTTAAAATAGAGTGAATGCAGAGAACTCGAGCATCAACAAATGTGAACATTCTCAAGACCTAGATTGAGTTAAAATGGTGATATTATGAGATAGTTATGCATACCTTAGTCTTCTTATATGATGCTTGAATTGCATGGGCTATAGTGTGCTCCTCATGTCGTTCAATATAGTGAAGATTCTGAAAGCATTTCTCATGTGCCTGTTTTAGGTTACATGAGTCAGTACATGTCACGTAAATTCATCAAACTAGTGACATTAATAAATGATTGGTGATATTCAAGAACATGTTCATGGGAGACAACATTGATGATATTATACACCTTTCAAATTAATTTGATTTCCCTACTACACCCCAGAAATCATAACATCATGGTAAGAAAGTAACCATATAAAAACCAATTATAATTAAAGCTGAAAATTATGTGAATAGCAGGACGTAAAACATGTCTGTCTGAATAGACCAGATTTACCAGCCTAGTAATAGAAGATAAATAATCGATTCACCTATTGATTATAGGGTGCAGCATTAAATAACAGTATAAATAAAAGCAGTGGAAAGTTACCCGTTGGACTGCAATTGGGACTGCATCAACTTTGGCTTTTGGATATCCAACAACACCATGATAGTTTCCACAAAACATCAAAACAGTGTACTCGACCACTTGCCCTCCCTGGACAATATCCACTTCAAATGAGTAACACAGAAATCAATCTAACAACAAAACTCAGTCAAATTGCATTATATTACCTTTGTTACTTTACAAGTTCGATTTATATCTATCAACCTCAAATCAAAACCCTGCCATAATTCAATAAAATCAGAGTTAGATACATGCAACGTGAAACAACTTGAAAAACACAAAGTTGATACTTGAAACGAAACAATGCAAATAATTTATCATCAAATGATTCATACTTGTGAATGATGGTTAAGGTCATACGGAGAATTAATATACAGAACTGTAAAGGAGAGGAGTCAGACCGCAATGGAAACCATTCTGGCTAGAAAAAATAGTTCACTAACAACCCTTACAAAAGTGAATTGACACAAATCAACCTAAACAAATTTGTACTTCTGCTAGAGCCCAGAACAGTTTATTTTGCCAATCCAAATAAAAGAAAGCTATATTTCTACAAGTGAGGGGATGATAGCCTGCCCATGAAAAGCATGAATATAAATAAAATATATTTACGAAAATTTAAGAATAATATTAGCTTAGAATTATGTCCCTTGACCATTTCAAAAATAGCTTAACTATTTGAACTTTGCATCAAAATAAATGAAGAAAGTCTAGCATACAGTTACCTTTCTGTAAAGAGGTCTTCTTTTCTTCTCTGTTAAAGAATTTCTTTCCTCCGCAAGGTATCTGATTTCCTCCTCTAGAAGCTTACCCTTCCTGCCGAATGTATAATCCAACTCTACCAGCTTTTCTTCAAGTTTCTTATCAATAGCATTGAGCTTCTCCAATAGTATATTATCTTTCTCTTTCATGTCATCAAACTCTTCTTCGTCCTCAGCCTCGTCATCTTTTCTTACTATTTTCTTCTGATTCTCCTCTTCAGCTTCTTCCTCATGATCAACAGGAGGACCAACTTGTCGGACGTTCATAACTTTATAATTAGCAGGATTATTGGGATCGTAACGTTCCTTCCATTGAAGGAGCCTCACTGCCCTATTCAATTTTTTCTGAAGGACAAATTTCTCCTTGCCTTCTGCAACCTTAAGTAGATTCATCAAGTCGTCAATGACCCTATAATTTGGGCTAAGTTTAAAATGCTTTTCCTCAAACTTGTCAATTTTATTCATCCATTTAAAAGCATCATCAAGTGTCACCGTCAAGTGCAACAATGTAATTTGTCAACAATCGATGAATTTCATAAATATCACTTATAAACAAACAAAAAATATGCAGTAAATGGTGTTATTATATTCATATCACTAAGTAAACATAAGGCGTCTTTATTTTAGAATTTAAAAAATCCACTGAGTTTATTTCATCCACTGAATTTATGTACTTGAATTTATTAGATTTGTTTGACCATGGTTGTAACCTCCTTTGTTACCAAGGTAAACCATTCGTCGTGTTCTTTTCAAATAAATCAAACGACAAATCTCAACTCTAACATACCATAAATTTAACAGTTACTAGTTTTTACATGGGAACTTTTGTACCTGTATTAAACTTAGCGATTCATGTATGCATGCCAAGGCTTTTACTTTTCCGATATACATTTGAGACATTCATGTATCCCTGTGGCATTCAAGTTACTTTTTTTTTCCTGTTGTGTTTTCTAGGTATAGCGTCTAATATTGACAACTCTAGTGTGTATGTAATAAGCATTCTACACGAAGTGCACCCACATACATGTTATACTATCATTAGTACTCAGCAAGCAACGAAGCAACTAAAACAAGGCTTGTTCATTTACCTGCCTCACAGAAGTTCTTTAGCAACTGCTCATGCATCTTTTTTTTCCTCTCAAATTGTTTTTCCTGCTTTTCTAAATCCTCCTCATCCTCACTTTCGGAATCTGAATCCGAGGACCATTCGATTTTTTTACGAATTTTTTTAGTCGTATCCTTTTCCTTTAAATACTTCTTTTCAAGCTTCTCTATCAATGGCGTTACAACCATATAATCTTCTTTGTCCTCTTCATCAATATCTTTTGTGTCCAAACCTTTTCTCTTCCTATCCTCTCTTTCTTGCTGCTTCTCGCGTTCCATTTCAGCATATACATCAGCCAAAAAATCATCCTCCCCAGGCTCGTCGGACCTGAAGCCTCTAGAGAAATGCCATCTCGTGAAAGAAAGTGGAGATTTTGGAGTTCGGTTGTTGTGGAAATAGGAAGAAGTCGAGATATTTAGACAAAACGAGAAATGGGGTTTAATGGGGGTTTTAGGAATATGAGTTGAATAATGGTTGTTTGGCAAAATATTCGTACAGGTTTTCCTAGAAAATGAAGGTGGGGCTCTAGGTGGATTTTGAAAGGAGCGGCTAAGGAGCCTAAGCCATGAAGAAGGCTGTGATTTAGTTGACATTTCTCTTCTCTATTAGCTTAAAATGAGAAACATAGAACAAACCTAGTAAAATGTAGAGAGTCAGTGTGAGCTAAAATTTTGACAACAGATAGCTTTCAAGAGAAATCGATCAAGAAGCAGTAGGATCAAGCAGAAAGTGAAACAGAGAAAGGAAACCGAGCCACAACTCAAAATCTCACGACTCCATCAACTAAAGATTAGGGTTCCGAAAATTACCTCAAATTAATTTACTTGTTATAAAATAGGAAGTAGACCAGAGTGGTGGTGTAAGGCCTCTGTGGCTGCGCGGTATCTATCAGAATAGCTTCGGAACTTCTAAAGGAAAATTTAGGGAAAATGATTATATTTTTCATTCCGGTTTTTCTCTACTTGTCTTCTCCAATTGATTATTCATTTTTTAACAAGTGCATGTTGCGGTTATGTATTCTTCTTTATTTTTTCTGTACCTTGGAGAGATTTTTACAAAATCTCCCACGCTTGTTTTGCGGTATTCGCATCAAAATTTTTTCAAAGATAAATTCGTCTACTCCTTAAAAAATAAAGAACAACAGTTTTGTATCTTTTTTTATGGGATTCCTTCAATACCTTCTATTCTTCATTGGTCAATGCTGCTTCTGCTGTTGCATTTTCAGGTTCGGTGTAACCATCATTGATGATATCCCAATAATCTTGGAAGCCTAGTAACGCCTTCATTTGAATGCTCCAATTGTCGTAATTCGTCTTTGTTAATCTCGGAATTTGTAGTTGAATCATGTTGGTCATCTTCTCCACCTCGTTAAACTCGAACCAAGCTCTGAAACCACTTATTGGAAGCGTAGATGGGCACTCGGTGATTTATATAACTTGAAATTACTATTCATACAAAACAAAATACGTTACAACGACACTACCTCAATATTACAATATTACAACACTACAATACTAACTGCAGTTAGTTTACAAACACAACCTTGTTATTCTAAGTTTTGCTAAGCTTCACCTTTTCTCTCATAGCTTTTCTAAGCTATTTCTCATCCTTGCTTTACTAAGCTTTTTCATTCTCTAATAGTTTTGCTAAACTATTTCTCATTCTGATTTTTCTAATTCTTTTCTCATATTTCTTCTCATACATAAACTAAAACTATCAATGCCTTTTTATAGGCAATTTAACCGCCTCATGAAGCTTCAAGATTGCTTTCATTCTACCGGCTTATAATTCCTTAATAATTAAGTATTATAGCTGCTGCCTTTTCAATCCTTCCCGTGAACATGTTTATATCAAAGCAAACTTTGCTTGCCTTGCC